GGGCGACGGCTAGCGCACCACACCCCTCTCCTTAAAATCCCTGTGTGGTGGCGGCGTGCCGTCCTCCCATCCCTCCCTTGGGTTGTCCGTTTTCTTTCTTTCTTTCTTTCTCTTCTGTTGTGTGTGCCTGCTGCATGCAGTGAGTGGCGGGTAGTAGAAGGAAACTCGAGAAGGAAACGCAGACATATCCAACGACCGCGCCCAACACGTACGTGTCCAAGCTGGAGAGTGTTGGTTGCTTCTACATACAGCTTCCCTTTTGGAGGCGGTGCTTACTGCTGTCAGTTACGTCCTGTCTCCTGTCATCAGACTTCTCCTGTCAGACTGTCGGAGAAAGTGCTGTCAGCGCTGTGCGCTGTCACGTGTCAGGCGCTGTCCGGGGTTTGCTGTTCGTTTTCTTTCTTTCTTTACTGGGCACGGGACTGGCGCGCACTGGCACTAACCGACAGGTACACCACGGGAGCCGCCTAAGCGACTCCCGCGTGCACGGAAAAGAAAACCAGCTGGCTCCCCGGCCCTGGATGTGCGGTTACCGACTGCACTCCTCAAGTGCTCCAAGTGCCGTCCCCAGCAACACACTTTTTTTCGGCCCCAGTGTCGAGCAAACAAAGACAAGCAGCATCAGCAGTGTAATGGAAAAAGAAATCGCCGTGCGCGCAAAATCCACAGAACGTACCCAGCTACCCCTTACTGCGTCTCGCGCGTGATCGCGAAGCGCAGCACGCACGCGCTGAAGTCGCGCGCCGCGATGCCGTTCGTGTTTCCTGCCGAGTCGAGAAGGTGCCGCTCGTGGATCTCGTAGAGCGAGAGGACGAGGAGCGCCGCCCGCGCGCGCGCCGCCGCGGGGAAGAGCGAGTGGCTTGCCGGCGACCACGGCGCCGCCGCCCGCCGGATCAGCGCCGCCGCCTCGCCCTCGCCGCCCACGGCGCGCTGCAGCGGCGTCGGCTCGCCCTCGTGCAGGCTTGCGCCGCTGCGCAGCAGGGAGAGAGCGCGGGCGGCGGTGAGGGTCTCAAGGTGCGCGAGCGGCGTCCGTCGCAGCCATCGGCCGGAGGATGGCTGAGCTCACTAGATCCTGACCAAGCGTGCTAACGCGATGGCTGAGAGATAACGACGCCAGCCATCCAGAACAAGGGTGTGGTGGCTCGCGGAGCGAGAGTGGAGCCACCTGGGCTCGTGTCGGGGCGGCGAGAAGGCTGGGTCGAATTCGCGACAGCCATCCTCCGGCCGATGGCTGCGACGGCTGTATGACAGCGATCATGCGGCCGGGCGGATGGCCGGGACACAGCCACCGCAGCCATCGGCCGGAGGACGGCTGCACTGGCTGGAAGGCAGCCAAAATGGCGCGTGCTAGGGTTCTCCCAGCCCTAACTTGCGTCGGTCCCTCTACTTCCCACGCACACCTTCCCCGCTGCGGTCCACGCTCTGGTACTGGAGTCTGGTCAGTCCGAGTGTCTGACCGACTCTCGAGGACCGGACTTCGTGAGGAATCGTGAACGGTTCGGTTCCAGTTCCACCACAAGGAGATATGACCCCTCTCGGTGAGCGGTTTCACAGCCAGATACCGGCCCACTCGGCACGCACGCTCATCCACGCGACGACCGCACCACTTATGCGTCACAACAAGCCGCCGCTCTCTCTTCGCCAGGACGCCAGCCGCGGCCCGCTGGGCTCACTCCGTCTCCGGGGAGCGGACGACCTGGGTAGCATCCGGCCGGATGGCACGCCACACATCCCGCTCCACTTCTGCTACAGCCTTTCGGCGCTTGTTCTCAGCCTCGACGGCCAGGTCGCGCTCTGCGTTGTGCTCGTCGTCGCGAGCGGCGCGGGAGCGGCGCTGGCTAGAGTAGGCCATCTGACCGCCTAGGTCCCACGGGTCACGGAGCCCCTCCTCCGAACGCCCCCTCGCCTCGTCGGGGGAGAGCAGCTCCCAGAGGTCCCAGTTGATCTCACGCAGTATCTCCAGCTCCATCGCCTTGATGGCCTCAACCGTACTCGTCTTCGAATAGGCCACAAGATTGTGGAGCTTCCATGGGAGCAGCGGGTCTAACGTGTCCACCTCGTTGAACTTGCAGGCGAGGCTCAAGCTGCCGAGCACGGCGTCGGATCGTTTTTTCTCATCCGTCAGAGGGTCGCCGCAGCGGCGCATGTAGCGAGTGAGAACATCCATCGCCAGGCCAAAGGTGCGGTCGCCGATCTCGTAGTCTAGCTCTGGGTCGTTCTCGATGTCCTCGAGGAGTGTAAGTAGCCGGGCGGGCACAGGTCCCGGCGGGGTGTGGTACGCGTCGGTGCCCTCGTCCGTGACGAACGGGTTGTGCGTCTCGATGGCATCGAGGCGCACGTAGCGGACCGTGGCGCTACACAGGTCGTCGGGCTCGTCGCTGATCGAGGCGCGAGACTGCACCTTTGGCGCGGTGACGGGGGCGGCTGGCATGTCGTCGGCTTGATCCTGCGGGGCAGCACAGCGTGCGGTGCATGGCGCCGCTGCGGGTGTCGCTGACCGAGGCGCGAGACTGCACCTTTGGCGCGGTGACGGGGGCGGCTGGCATGTCGTCGGCTTGATCCTGCGGGGCAGCGCAGCGTGCGGTGCATGGCGCCGCTGCGGGTGCGGAGGAGTGGGGGACGGCGAGAGGCGAGGGGGGGCGAGAGGACGACGAGGGCCGAGAAGCGCCCGGGCGGGCTCCGGGCATCGGCGTGTGTGTGAAGGGGGAGGTTCGTGCTGTGCCGCGATGAGAGGGCGCACGCGGCACGATCGGGCTGCGTGCGGGAAGAATATCGCGTGCCGCACCTGCGTCACACACCGGCGCGGCGTGACGAGGCTGTCACTGGCGACTGTGTGCGGGCGAGCAGCAGAGTGGTTTCAAGGGACTTCGGCGAGAGCGGGTTTCGTGGGGCAGGTCGGGCAGAGACGGCGGCTACAATATGATACGGCCGGTCATATCCCGCGGGCCGGGGACGCGCCTGCAAGGGTGGGAGCGAGGTCTTGCTTAGACGGCAACGCGAGCGCGACGTGACGAAAAGAGGGGGCCGCGGGCGAGTCTCGGCCGCGGTTCGCGACGAGTTGTGGGCGATGCGAGCAGCTGCTCGCCCGTGAGTGCAGCGAGCGCGCCGTGAGGCGGTGCAGGCGGGTTGCGGGCGGAGATGGCCTTTCGAGGCGGATAGGCCACAGACGAGCCCAGGATAAAAAAATCGCTCCACCTGCTACAACTGCTCCATTCCAAGTACTCAAGCGTGAGACGCCGCACTGTAGCCCATTCGGTTGCTTATTTTCTTTATTTATTTACAAACCATCACTCGTGATCAGCCGCACGATCGCCTCGTAGATCGGGCTGCCCACCAGCGAGAGCGACGGCTCTTCTAGCTTCTTGGCGAGCAGCGACAGCAACTCGGCGCGCAGTTGCTTCAGGAGCGCGCCGACGCGGCCAGAGGCGGCGATGGTGATGTGGCCGTCCACCTCGACCGTGCCCGCCTCGGCGTTGACAACGAGCGAGCCGCCCGCGAAGAGCAGCAGCGCGCACAATCAGCCTCCCGTCTCCCCGCCCGCCGGCGCCACCGCCTTGGCCGCCGGTGCCGGTGCCGCCGCCGCCGGCCCTCTCGGCTTGGGTGCGCCGCACCGGAAGCACGCCGGCTTGGACGCAAAAACCTTTGCGCCGCACCGCTCGCACGTGTAGTCGCCCGCAGCCGCAACTGCCGCCCCCCCCGCGCCCCCCGGCCGTGGCGCCTGCAGCCTCTTGCCGCTGTAGACGCACCAATCCGAGGGCAGCTTGGGCGAGGCGTAGATGCTGCAGGAAGACGCGCCCGCCCGCCCGCCGCTCCGCGAGGTAGAACTTGACGATCCCGCGCTCGTCCTCCGCCTCCACCGCCCCGCCCACCGTGTCGACGAAGCGCGTGTCGGGCATCCTCGCGCGCAGCACGTTCGGGTAGAGGCCGGCGCACACGATGGCGCGCACGAGCGACGCGTGGTGGACCGAGGCGACCCCCTCACCCTCGCCCTCCATCGCTTCCCGTGTGCTGCTGGCGAAGCCGAGGTCGGCCAGCACGCCGCTGAGCTGCTCGCGCAGCGCGTGCAGCTCTCCAGCGCAACGTGCGAGAGGAAGTGCTCGTCGCAGAAGCGCCGGCCAGCGCCGCCGCCGCCGGCGCGCCTCGCGCCGCGCCAGCCCTCGTAGGCGTGCAGGTACGCGAGGTGGTCCGAGTGCTCGCCGGTGAAGGGCTTGCGCGCCGCGTCGGCGGCCTGCGGCAGGGGCGAGGCGGGTGCGAGGGGGGCCGGGAGGAGGGGTCTGGGAGGAGGGGCCTATGGGAGGCGTGTGAGCGCAGGTCTTGAACGGGGGGTCTCAGGAGGGGCCTCGTCGTGTAAAAAGTCGCTACGGCCCGCCTGGCGCTGCTCAAAGGGCGCCAGGAAGGGCGACCGGCGCGTCGAGAGCGCCGCGGCGATGGTGAGCATCGGATCGATGCAGCCGAGGAGCGCACCGTACAGCACCATCTTTCCGACGCGCACGTCGAGCGGCATGCGCGCAAGGTGGGCTCCGAGCAGGGTGAGGGCGTCCGCCGCGTCGAGCGCGCCGGCGAGACGGAGCGAGCGGCACGACTCCTCCACGGCGTCGGCGCTCGGCGGCTGCAGCGCGCGCGCGAGGAAGGGGCCGGGCGGGCCGAGGCCGAGCGAGAGGATCGAGAGGACCAGGCCGGCGAGGGGCGTGCGCTGCATCTCGGGAGGCCGGCGTTTTCTTCTTTTACGATCAAAGGAAAAGAAAAACACGGACGGCGAACGTCGGCCACCTGTTGTATCCCCTTCCCCGCCTTCGTCGACGCCGCCATTGAAAGGTGTGTCCACCGCTGCGTTCCGAGCATCGCCGGCTCTGTCGCCCCAGCGGCTTTGCCGCAGGGCGCACCGTCACATACACCGCCGCATCTCAGTCACGCCGCCCCACCGTGTCACCTAATCCATCCAACTCGCCTGCCGCAGACAAATGAGCCGCCCCATCGTTCCGAAAGTTCCGAAGCCTGCCATGGCGTACGTCAAGAAGCGAAAGGACGAGTACAAGGCTAAGATGATAATTGTGGACGAACCGGAAGAGGAGGTCGAAGCCCAGGAGGAGGAGGAGCCCCAGGAAAAGCCGCCCTGCTGCACGCCGCCATCAATCTCGATACCCAAGTGCTCGATGCCATCCTGCAAGTGCTTCTCGAAAGGAGGCGAGGAGCCGCCGGCTGAGGCGCTAGCCGAGTCGGCACCGGGTCCGCCGGAGGGCACCGTCGCCTCCGCCATCGCCTCGCTCGAGCAGAAGGCCGGGGCGGATCTCGACGGCGATGGCAAAGTTGGCGCCGTTGCGGGCGCGCCGGCTTAGGGCGGTCCGCACGGGACGCCAGGGGGCGTCTCAGGCCCAGCGAGGCCCACGGCTGCCACCGCCCGGCTGGTCCGTCCTGTACTTTTGATGGACGCGCCAGCAGAGGCAGTGGAGATGGACGATTAGCAGTAGAGCAGGCAGGCGATGGGAGCTGGTGTGTGTGCTTCTCAGAAGCTTCAGCCCCTATACACCACCACACCACGCCCCACAGCCCCATCGAAATATGTCTCGAGAGATAAAAGAAAAGCCCAAGCCGACATGTTGAATGAGATTATGGTGATGTGTACTTTTAGCTACTGGGAGAACAGGGAGAGGGGGTTGTGTTCTCTAGGCCCCTAGAAGGGCCCTACGCGCGGCGTGAGAGCTCGGAAGCGAGCTTTGCGCGGCGCGATCGAGGATGGCGCGGTTCACCCCTCATTCATTCACCGACGCGATGGAGATGCGTCTCTCTCTGTTTGTTTGTGTTTGACGCAGGCCAATGTACGTACTTTTAGCTTTCTCTCTCTCTCTCCAATGTATGAAAGCTCGCTCGTGCGGCGCGTCATTCGTCGCGACCGGATGCGATCACAACGGCGGCAGCCCTAAGCGACTCATCCGAGGACGACGAGTCGGCTCGCTAAGGTGCGATACAAGACCCTTCAGGCTCTCGCCATAACACGGGCATGACGACACGGAGACCCGGCGTGGAGACGCAATCGCACCTCTCTCTCTGTCTCTGTCGCTCTCTGTGTCGGCGCTGGGTCGCGTCAGTACGGGGTGTGGGCCCTGAGAGACCGCTGTGCAGAGGATCCGAGTGAAGTGGCGAGCCAGAGGCTACCTGGGTCACCAAGTGGTAGCCCTTGCCCATTCTGATCAGGGCCTGTCACGTTAGGGCCTGACAGCGACGGGTCACCCCTCTGATGTCAGGCTCTGCTGTCAGGCTGTCAGATACGTGCTGTCTGGCTGTCAGAGAAAGTGCTGTCAACGCGCTGTCAGGCTGTCGGGCACTGTCAGGCGCTGTCCGGGGTTTGCTGTCGTGCTGTCAGACCACAGGGCTCGGCAGGCCTGGGTAGCGTCCGTTAGGCCCGGAAATGGTTGGTTGTTAGATGTTACAACGGTACGACATCAGACTTTTGGTTTTGCAACTCTCGTCCTCGTATATCTGCGTCAATCTCTGTGGCTAGCCTGTGTAGTAAAAAGTCGTCAGAAAACGGTACAGCGCCAAGCGCTCAACTACCTCGACATGATTCACTAAAGTCTAAAGCTCCGCGTCCACATCAGAGCGCGCGGATTCAGAGACCGCGCCCGCCCCTATAGGTATCGCGTGTCGCATACCGCGGTCCGCGCCACCGACGGTGGAGGTGCTCCAAACAGCTCAAAGACTCAGATGAGCCTCGGCTGCAGAGCGGTCGTTCGCCAAATCGTCTCTGTCCGTGGCAGGGGCGGGACTCACGGGGCGAGCTGCCGCTTGATGCTGCGCAACGCGCGCTTCGAGAGGACCAGCTTCGACTCGAGGTGCGTGTCAAAGTAGTTGTAGTCCGTCTCCGACTCGCGCTTGCCGCGCCTGCCGATGACCCCAGATGACCCGAGATGACCCGAGACGACCCGAGATGACCCGAGATTGCAGTCGGCCCTCCGACTCGCGCTTGCCGTCGCCTGGCGGTGCTGCATCCGATCCATCCGCGGCCACATCTCGGCCGCATCTCGGCTACATCTCGCCTGCCGCGCGCGGCCGCCTCGGCGCCGCCGCCCCTCTCGCCGCCCTTCTCGCCGGCGGCGGCGCGGCCGCTGGCCGGCATCCACGAGCAAAAGAGCACCAACCGCAACTCACCCGGGTCTGTGCCGGGGCCGCGGTGGACCTGGAGGGAAGGGAAAGGAAGGTGAGGCCAGGTTCTCCACTCACACGAGGAGGCTGAGCAAGGGCCAGCAACCCTCGCGACTCCACGTCTAAAAGACAGGAGCCCCACGGCGTTCAAAGTGCAAGGCCCGGTGCGCGTGGGTGAGCGGTGCGTGTGTGTGCGTGAGTGTGTGTGCACGCGCGCGCGCGTGTGTGTGTGGGGGGGGGGGGTCTGCGCGCGCGCGTGTGTGTGGACCTTGTTCGACCAGAAGAGTGAGGCGTCGCCGACGTGCGAGCGCCGTGGCGTCGGCGCGAGCGGGAGGGTCTCCCAGTCACACTCTGGCGGCGCCTCCGACGTGACTAGCCGCGCCTACGCCGAGATGGCCCGAGATTAGCCGAGATAACCCGGGACGACCCGAGATCGCCCGAGGCGACCATCCGAGCCTTGTGCAGGTGGTGCGTCCAGTGCTCCCACTCCTAGAACAAGAAAGCGCGTCGGCGAGAAAGAAAGCTTGCAGCAAATGCGCCCAGCGTCCCGCTCCTCGGCGCTGCCACTCTCCCAAGTGGGCGCGTTGATGTCCTTCCACGGAGCGCACCATCGCTCGAGTGTGTCCTCCGGCACGCCGGCTGAGAAGTCCGAGTACGGCCCTGCGGCAAACTCGGTCCACCTGCTCATGGGAGCAGCCAATCTGTTAGATGGGAGCTGAGAAGTCCAAATACGGCCCTGCGGCAAGCTCCGTCCACCTGCCGCCGCGCAGCAGCAGCGCCGCGACGGGGAAGCGACGCACCGCGTCCAAGTGCCAGCGCTGCGGCGCGCGCGCCTCGGGTTCGATCTAAGGTGGGTCAGGTACACTTCTCCACACACACACACGGCGGTGGGGCAAGGGCCACGCAGCGCTCGCGACTCCGCGTCTAAGACTCACAGGAGCTGGCCCGGCATTCAGAGTGCGCGTGCGCGTGCGCGTGGTGAGTGAGTTAGTGTGTGTGTGTGTGTGTGTGTGTGTGTGTGTGTGTGTGTGTGTGTGTGTGTGTAAGGCCCGGTGCGCGTGAGTGAGCAGAACCACCTCGCTCTCCGGCGTGAGGAGCGCATAGCAGTCTTGGACGCGCAGCTCTGCGCGGCGGAGGCCGCAAGCGGCGGCGACGCGCCGCTCGAGCACCTCGACCACCCGCCGAAGCGGCGGCGGGAAGGCGTCGAGCGTTCGGCCGAGCTTGAGCTGCAGCCGCGAAGAGTTGATGTTCTCGAGTCGCGTGCCCGCCTCATCGACTCGCGACAGGATGTGCTCCGCTGCCGCGCGCACCGCCTCCTGCCAGCAACGCCCCAAGGGCGGGGCGGCGGGGTCCGGCGCACAGACAGGCGCCTAATCAACATGAATGATCTGGAGTATCGATTAGGGTCAGCGGCGGGGTCCGGCTCACAGCCAGCCGCGGCCTCAGCAGCTGCTGACCTCGCCGCCGCCGCGATCGCCCCTGCCACCACCGCCTTTGCCGCCTTTGCCGCCTCTGCCGCCTCCGCGCCCGCCTCGGTCTCCTCCTCCTCAACCTCCATTGCGAGGTTGGCGTCCGCAGCCTCGTCTTGGGAAGCGTCGCGCAGCCAGGCGTCGAAGCTGGAGTGCCTGAAGTGGAGACACCAGAGGCAGGGCGGGGATGCGCCCTCGTGCAGTCTTCAGAGCACCGCGTGAACACGAGGGGTGCGAATGCACTGAGCACAGCGGAGTGCGGCCGAATACAGAGCGCTCGTTCGAAGAGCTCGAATCTTGCAGTGCGCTCTCCGCTTCTAGTCAGGCGTGCGACGCATACGCAAACCCGTCCTCGCCCAGCGTCGGCGCCTAATCTCGGCGTACCTCCCCATTGAGCCCCCCCGCCCCCTCCCCCACACTCTCTCCACGCTCTCTCCACACTCTCGCGCAACACCGGGTGAAGCGGCGCCTCCTTCTCCTCGCTCGGCGCACTGACAGGAAACGTCTCGGAGGCGGCGGCGGCGGAGGCGGGGGCGGGGGCGGACGCGGCGGCGGCGGCGGCGGCGGACGCGGCGGCGGCGGACGCGGCGGACGCGGCGGCGGCGGCGGCGGCGGTCGAAGCCTGATATCCCCCCTCCTCGCCCGCGCCCGCGCCCGCGCCCGCGCCCGCGCCCGCGCCGCCGTCCTCCTCCGCCGCAGCCTCGGCCGCGCCTCGGCGGACCACCCCGCGGCCCCGCACCTTTTGAGGTAGGGTCACGCGAGATGCACGCGAGATGCACGCGAGATCGGCCGAGATCGCCCGACACGGACCACCCGAGTTCTCCTCCCCGAACTCAACCCCGAAACCACCCCGAGATCACCCAAGATCACCCGAGATCGCCCCGAGATCTCGCCGAGATCTCGCCGAGATTGCGCCGAGATTGCGCCTTGAGGAGGATGTGCCGGTTTGTGACCGACGACACGGAGCGGCCGGGTAGCTGCGCCGCAACCTAGGGCAAGGCAAGACTCTCTCTTTCCGACACACACACACACACACACACACACACACACACACACACACACACACACACACACACACACACACACCACCGGCGCTGGTGGCGAGGGTGGCGGCGGCGAGGGAGGCGGCGGGCGAGGCGGTGGTGGGCTTGGGCGGTGGTGGCATGGGGGTTTTGTGGATGGTGATGCACGCGATATCGCCCGAGATTGCCCGAGATGATGGGTGGTTGGTGATGCGGGCCGTCGCCCTTGCTCGGCCGATCTCTGCCAATCTCTGCCAATCTCTGCCAATCTCGGCTCTCGGCTGAGGCGGATGTCGACCGACCTCGGCTGGACCTCGGCTGGACCTCGGCTGGGGTCTCGGCTGATCTCGGCTGATCTCGGCTTGATCTCGGCTGGATCTCGGCGGGGTCTCGGCTGATCTCGACTGATCTCAACTGACCTTTGCCCACCCCATGCCCTGCCCACGGAGACGCAGGACGGCCTCATCCTCCTCTGGAGTGAACTCAACTTTGCGCAGCCTCTTCCCGACAGGAGGGCCGCCACTCCGCCTCGGCTGCCACGCGGCGTCGCCCGCCTCCTCCGGCTGGGCCCTGTGGAAGCTGCAGACCGTCTCCTCGGCGCACACGGTTTCCTCCGCTGCCGCCTCCGCTGCCGCCTCTGCTGCTGACAGCGGCGCCGCCGCCGCGCCGCTTGGGGTGCTGTCGGCCGCGTCCTCTCGCCCGGGCGCGGCCCGCTGCCGCTTGCCCGAGGCCCGCCCGCCGCCCAAACCTGCGTTCCAAACGGCGCCCGTTGGTGGCCGACCTGCGGTGCAAGGCCACGCGCGGTCAGCCCGTCGCGCGCATGCGCGCGTGTGCCACCGCGGCGCGCCGCCCACCGACAGGCCGAGAGAAGCGCGGCGCGCTGGACCCTTCGGATCCACTTGACTGCTCGTGCTGACGCCGGGTCCGTCTGAGGTCGGGAAAAACACACACACCGGCGTGGTGCTCAGCAAGGATGCACCCGTTGATGCCGCACACGTTCCAGCCGAGCTGCTGGTTCAGAGTGTGAGGGCTGCCTGAAATGACGTGCTCCATTTGGTCGTAGAACATTTGGACGAGCGGCGCCGGGGTCTCAGGTGATCTGTGATCTGTAAGAGTCCGCGCCCCCGCAGGCGCATTTGTGTGTGGTGAAAACACAGGGGAGACAGTGAGAGAGAGAGAGAGAGAGATCTCGGGAGACAGTGCTGTGACATGGAAATTTGAATAACAATCTCACTGAGATGTGTGATCTGTGATCTGTGAGGGTCCGCCCGCAGGCGCATTTTGTATACCGAGGCGGTGCCCGGTGCCGAACCTGTCGGACCTTAAGACAGCATTGTAGATCCCTGGGCGAGGGTGGTGGAGGGGGGCGGTCCGGCGGCGGAGCACCCACCTCCTCCCGGCGCGCCGGTAGGCAGGATGTCATCCCCCGTGATCCAGACTGCCCATGGGGCTGACTGTCGGCGCCAAACCACCTCCCACCGAGGCGGGCAGGTTCCACGCGTTCCCAGACAGCCCCATTGGAGGTAGGCCGCTCGTCTAGCCAATCAGCCTTAAGCGAGCGGCCTGGCCGTTGGAATGGCCCGGGTGGAGAGAGGGGCGGCGTCGGCTCGGAAGCGCGACTGCAGCCACGGGGACTGCCCGCCCACTCTCGTCGGGTTGAGGGGAGGACAACTGTCCCTGACGGCGAACCTCAGTTACGAGCCGCCCTCCCCTCGAGACGCGAGGCCAGCGCACTCGGGGCCGAGCCCCAGCGTGCACCGTCCCACACGCCTCACGCGGCCTCTGGCTGGAGCGGGATCGCAAGCGAGTCCCCCAGGCCGGCGCGCGTCTTCCGAGAGAGGAGCGGGAGCGAGGGACCTCCTTAGTAAGCCGGCATGCAGGCGCATGCACGGCCGTTCAGAAACTTTCCCAGCCGTTGGAATGGCTGCGCTCCCGCCCCTCACCGGGTCGAACGGGTAGTAGGCGTTGGCGCCGAAGAGGGAGGAGTCGCCGAAGGACGGGTAGTCGTCGGTCATGCGGGGGGAGGAGGAGTCGGCGAGCAGCAGGGAGGGAAATGCCTGCGAGGGTGGGGAGGGAGGCGTGAGGCGCGAGGTGAGGGGGCGCGGGGCGCGGGGCGTGCGTGGGACGCGAGGCGTGAGGCGCAGGGCGTGGGGCGGGAGGGCGCGGGGCGTGGGGCGGGAGGGCGCGGGGCGTGGGGCGGGAGGGCACGGGGGCAAGGTGTTGTGTGTGTGTGTGTCTGTATGTGTGTGTGTGTGTTTGTTTGTTTGTGCGAGGGCAGGGCGGGGCAGGGCAGGGCGGCGGCGAGCGGCGAGCGGCGTCGGCGAGATCGGCGATGAAGAGAGGCGATGGTGACGTACACGGCGGCAGTGTTCACGGCAGCAGCGCCGGTGGCGGCCCGCGCAGCGGCGGCGGCGCCCTGAGTGAGGCAGACTGCCCTGCACAGACTGCTGGGCACGCTCCCGACGAGCGGCGCGCCATGCGGGCCCGCCGCGGGCGACGCGGGCGGCGAGCCGACACGCGTGTCGCCGGCGTAGACAGCACTGGCGAAGCGAGGCGGCTGGCGCCGGCCCCGGAGGCGGCTGCAGTAAGAGCAGCGGGGCAGAAGTCACTGTCCAAGGCGTACTGAGCAGGCTGCCATCGAGCAGCGCGCCATGCGGGCCTGCCGCCGGCGACGAGATTGGAGAGCCGACAGGCATCGAAGAGGTAGGTACTGAGGAGGGCCATCGCGCCCGAGGCGGTCCGCGCCGGCCCTGCAGGCCGTCTCAGAGAGCCTGGCGAGGCTGTACAGAATGCCAAGAGCATACTGAGCAGGCTGCCGTCGAGCGACGAGCCATGCTGGTTCGTCGCAGGCGATGAGGTCGAGGAGCCGATCGGAGCGTCGCAGAGGCTGCCGACCACTGCCGTTCGCCCTCGGGCCCAGGGGTGGAAGGCAAGCTTCCTGGCGTTTCTGGCGAGCGTCCAGACGTCGCAGAGCATCCGGCAGGCGCGCAGCGCCCCAAATTTTTGCTCACCGCACGGCCGTGCGAGCCGTCTAGTCGACGGCCACACACACACACACATAGTGTCCTTACCACCCCTGGACTGCATCTGCGCAGTTTCGTACCGCTGCGGCGCGGTTTTGCAAAAACCGTCTGCATGAGGAGGCTGCGCAATTGTGCGCGCGATAGTAGGAGATGTAGGAGTCGTCTAGCTTCTTCAGATCCTCAGCCTCGCTACCCGATGCGAGGATGGGGGGCTGTTGAAGACCGACGACCGCGCAGCCGTCTAGTCTACGGCCACACACACACACATAGTGTCCTTACCACCCCTGGACTGCATCTGCGCAGTTTCGTACCGCTGCGGCGCGGTTTTGCAAAAACCGTTCTGCAGCGGCGCGGTTTTGCCCTTCACCCGCAGCCTGGATTGATAGTCATTGTGGGTGTGGGGGCCGCGGGCCAGGACTTTTGTTTGAACAAAGTTTTGACAGTACATTTCTGTCGGGCCTTGGAACAGCTTGTGAGTGGTCACTGAAGACCTTCACAGTCTCTGAGATGTGTGAACATGACGGCCGATCGACGAATTACACGCGCGAGCTTGCGAGCTCATCTGCATCTCAATCAAATCTCAGAGGGAGCGCCGTGTGTATCTTGATGCGTGACACTGCACTACGACTACTCCTCGTCCGACGAGTACTCCGTCTCGCCCTCCCCATATACCGACGAAAACACAACCCCCCAATTTCCTATTCCCCGAGCAATTTCCTATTCCCCCCAAAACAGTGAAAGACAATCAAATTGCGCAAATATTGGTATTTCCATGCCCCACAAGTGGCACCGTACTCATTGACAGGGCGTGAAGCCTGGCTCGCCCGGAGAAGCGGGGCTGAAGTCCTCAAACACCGCGCCGATCGCGTCGATAAGGTCCGGCGCCGTCATCGACCGGCGGTGCTTCGCAAACGCGGCGGCGGCGAAGCGGCGCGTCAGCAGGCAACCAGCGTACGAAGCGAGCAGCGGCGGCGGCGGCCCGCCGGCAGGCAGCCTGCCGCTCCGCTCCGCTGCCTGTGTGCAGTCACTAGGTGAGTTTGTGCTTCTGCCGCCGCCTCCCCGAGCCAGCGTCGTGGGCTCGGACCGGCGTCGTGTGCTAGCTGCTTGACTCTGTGCGTGGGCGCAACGCTTTGGACTCGGGTTTATTGCAGTACTAGCCCCTCCACCTTTGCCCAGCCGAGCAGCGTTGCGATGCTCCCGGCGAGGACGTCGCCCTGCCCTCCGCACCTCTTGAGGCAGCCTGGCTAATAATCAATGGATTGATTAAATGAGTTCGTGTTGTTGCCTCCGCAACGAGTGGGGCAGCCTGGCTCGGCGCACTCGAGTAGCTGCGTGCCGTCACACAGCAGGTCGGTCGCCTATCGCATTGAATCAATCATTCTTAACTCATCAACAGCGGAGCCAGTCGCACGGCAGCCGGTCGCCTGTTACATGAATCAAGTGACTCGTGAACCAACTGATAGGCCGAGGGCCCGTTGCACAAGCGGGCCGGCCGCCCCCTTTTGGACGATCGCCGGGCCCGCCCCTCCCTCGTCTCGGAACGACTCCGCCACCGCGAGGAGGGCGCGATCTCCGTCGGCCTGCTAACCAACGAACCTCTGCTCGCTATCGAAGTGACGCGAGGGTCCGAGAAGAGCCAGTCTCTGTCGGCCTATTGATTGGTCGAGTATCGACTGCTCGCTTCGATCGAATGAGAAGAGAGCGAGCGCGATCTCCATTGGCCGCCGGGTCGAGCGCCGCGTCTCCCGACAGCGCGCCCGCCAGCCGGCCATACTCTGGCTTGTTCGGCGTCAGCACCGCCCATCTTGCGCCGCGAACGAGCGAGGGGCGCTCGAGGACGCACCTGCGGCCGATGCCGGTCAGTGTCGGGGCATCTCCGGCCATCTCGGTCAATCTCGGTCAATCTCGGTCAATCTCGGGCGAGAGTCCATGGACGCGCCGCAGCCCGTCGGCGTCGATAACGCACGGCAGCGAGGCGCGCACCTCGGGTCGGGGGGGGGAGGGTTGGGTGCGGGTCGGGGTAGGTTGGAATGAGAGCAACACGACTGGGCTGGGGTACAGTAGCGTGTGGGCAGCGAGGCGCGCACCGCGCGCTCGAGGAGGAGGGCGGCCACCGCCTGCATGGTCGCGTCGCGGCCGAGGCCGGGGCCGACGACAAGCGCCTGGCGAGGCACCGTTTTGATTGAGTCGGGGGTGAGATTGGGTGCTGCTAGGGACAGAGCGCGCCGTCAGCGCAGGGAACCACTTCGAGACCTCGTCTGCCTGGCGTGCCACCTCGGCGAGGTCCACCTGCGCGGGGCAGTGGCAGGAGTGGACAGCCTTCGGAAGCTCTGAAGTGGCGTCTCGGATGCGTGTCCGCACCTCTGGCGCGCCGCGTAGGCAGCCGTGCACGATGAGCTCGGGCGAGTAGCTCTTGATCGGCACCGCCGCCGCCTCGTCGCAGAAGACGTGGGAGAGGTCGGCCCCGAGCTTGAGCGCCGTCAGAGCAGCGTAAAACGGCGCTCCGGTGTACTCGAAGCAGCCTCCGACCACGCCGACCTTGCCGGACGAGCCCTTGTAGCTCGTGGCGACTAGCGGCGGCACGAGCACGCGAAGCTGCTGCGGGCTGACGGCCAGGCGGGGGCCCATATACACAAGAGGCTCGGTCCTTCTCCTGGTCGTGGTCGAGACCGAGGTGCCTTTTTATATTAGGTGCCCTGGAGGCTTGGCTGCAAAGGGGATTTTTGTTGTGCCGACTTCGATCTTCGTGTGTGCTCCGCTTCTGAGAGAGAGATTTTGAGACATGAGAGAGAGAGAGAGAGAGAGAGAGAGAGAGAGAGAGAGAGAGAGAGAGCCGAGATAGAAAGAGAGAGATTTTGAGTGAGACGGTTTAGAGAGAGAGAGAGAGAGAGAGAGAGAGAGAGAGAGAGAGAGAGAGAGAGAGAGAGGGAGGGAGGGAGTACATTTCTTTCTAATTTTATTTCGCCTCGACCGCTCGAGCTGTGCTTAAAAGTTAAATCTCTTTACAACCTCCAATCCCCGTCCTTGCTTGCGTCCCCCCATGCCGGTGTGTCCAGTCGCTGGCCAGCCTCTTCTAAACCAACACTCCCGTTTCCCAAGAAAAGAAAAGTCCAAGCCTTCCTCGATTTCCGCGAGCGGCGTCTCACAAAAAGCCTAGCCGTCCCGGCGCAAGAAAAGCCTTGCCGCCGAGCTGTCGTTCCTTCTGCAGGCCGCGTGCAGCGACGCGCGAGTCCTGGCGGCGCAGCCGCCCCGCCGTGCGGACCATGGCCAACCAGCCCGTCGACGCGCCCGACGACGTGACCTCAGCCGGTAAGTGTCGAGAGCGCCCCCCGGCCAAAAGTCGACGATCCTCGCTCGCCGCCTCGCCCCTTCCGGCGGCGCGGCGGCGCCCGCGACGGGCGGCTCGCCCCACGGCGCACCCCGCCGCCGTAGGTACTCGAGGTGCTCGCCCTCCAACGACGCCGCGGGGGCGGAGGGCCGCGACCCGCTGGGCCGGCTGCCGCCCCCGCGCCTGCCGCCCCCGCGCCGCCCCCGCGCCGCCGTCGGCGGCGTCCAGCGCAAGCGCCGCCGCTGCGTCGCGCGCCGCGCGGGCAGCCTCGACGGACCAGAAGCCGTGCTCGTCGTACCCGGCGTCCCACACGCCCAGCGAAGGGCTGAGTGCCGTCGCGAGACCTCGGCACGCCTGCGCACGCCTGCGCACGCGGCAGAGCGACAGCAGCACCACCCTCGTCGGGCGCCCACGAAGCGTACTCGCGGGTCGCCGCTCCGTCGACCGAAGGCCGAGACACTTGCTCCGACGCCACCCCGCCCCCGCCCCGCGGCTCCGGCACCGATATCTCG